GTCATCACCTCTCTTCCTGTGACCCTGACAATCCTGCCTCCCTCTTGTAAGGATTCCTGTGATTACACTGAGCCCAACTGGATAATCCAGGTAGTCTCTTTATCTCAAAACCCTTAACTGAGTCACATCTGCAAGGCTCCTTTTGCCATGTGAAGCCACATATTCACAGGTTCTGAGGATCAGGAGGTGGTCCTTTTTTGTGGGGGGAGGATTGTTATTCTGCCCACCACAGGCGTAGAGGGGAGAGAGAGAAGGGAAGAAATGGAGACACTGGGGAGAAAGTGAAGACATGACCACCCTTCCCCATCCCTTAATTTAGAGTGAATTTGGGGCTGAGAGTATCCCTGAAAATAGAGAGAAGATGGCACATGGATCTGAGGGTAAGGCCAGAAAAGAGGTGGGGAAAGGAATGGGCTGGGAAGAGGCTGTTGGGGACTTGTGGGGTCTTTAGGAGAGAGATGGCACAAATGCACCTCAGCTGCCCAGAGCAGGCCGCGAATTTCATCCATCCACATTCGCAGCTGGCGCGACCCACGCACCCCTGGGAAGCCCGCGGTAAAGCCTTGTTGAACGCTCAGCTGATAATGAAATGCACGTTCGAAAAACAACAGTGAGGAAAGAACCCCAAAGTGATTGAATCGAGTCATCTCTTTGAGGTGCGGCCTCAGAGGCCTTCGCAGGCCCTGTCGCAGCTCTCTGGAGAGGAAGAGCCCGTGTGACGGAGGCGTGGGCCGCGACACCTGCTCTTGAGCCTCTCCACACCTCAGCTTCCTAAGTAGGTTGAAACCAACGTTTCCAAAAATATATTGTATATGTTAGTCATCAAATGCTTAATATACACTCCCTCCCTTCCCACCCCCAGGGCATTTTAAGGATTGAGAATTTGGAGCTAATCCAGAACTTGACTCTGGGTTGCTCTTGGGCCTTGGGCCTGTGACGGGCCAGCAGACCACCTCTCCCTCCCCTTAGAGATACTAAGAATACTAGTTAATACCTCTGCAGTCCCTTGAACTGGGAAAACTAAGAGGTTACCAGGAGGGGAGTGTTTTCATTATTTTTCTACGTGAGGCCTCCAGGTTGGTGGCTGCCTGTATAGGGGTGTTGCCATACGTACGTGCTGGCAGATAGCTTTTGTTTGTAGATTTTGTTTTGCTCGTTCTTTAATATCACTTTATTCAATAAATATGCATGTAAACAAAGTAGATATCTTTTAAAGTTTTTATTTTTTTAATTGGCAAATAAAAATTGTCAACAACACAATGTTTTGAAACATGTATACACTGTGGAATGGCTAAATCAAGCTCATTAACATGCATTACCTCATATACTTACCATTTTTTGTAATGAAAACACTTAAAATCCACTCCATTAGTAAGTTTCAAGTGTGCAATACATTGTTATTAGTCACCATGGTGCACCATGGATCTCTTGAACTTATTTCTCCTGTCTAACTGAAATGTGATATCCTTTGACCAACAGTAGACTTGAGTCAGGGGTGCAGGTACCATGACATCTTTAAACAAATGCTGCCTGTTTTCTCCAGAATTCATGTCATTTATAAACAATGTTATCTAACTACTTTAGAATCTGAGTGACTATAAATCCTGAAGTAAAACATTTAGGACTCACTGTGGTCATGTGTGACTGGTTGGATCATCAACTGCTTAGACTGTTTCTGATTTCAGACCAGAGAGCTTCTGTCTGGGAGTAAACCTGAGCTTGTGAGCTAGTGTTCGGAATCTTCTGGCTAACTCTGTTGACGTCTGCCCTCTGAGATGCTTGCAGACTTCCATCACGTGGGTCTGCTGCAAAGAATTCCCAGCAGGGTGACGGGCTTGTTAAGTCAAATGGCAGCCCTCCTAACCAAAGGCCATTGCCAGGAAATGTAGTGGACCCAAACAGTGTGTCCCTCTCAACCCAGACCATCAGTGAGAGGGTTGTGGAAGCAAAGCTTTTACTTCCTTGATCCTGAGTGAGACTTATCTTAGGCTCAAGACCACATCTTCATTGTGTAATATCATCATCTGCATATTTCATATCTATCAAGGATCCATAATAGGCCAGTCTCTGATAGAAAGGAAAAATCTATACAAGCTATGATTTCTGCCTTTGAACATAAGACCTTTTAAAGGTAAAGAAGTTGAAAACACACATACATTGAATTGCTTCATAGGTCAAGTGATATTGCCCTTCAATTTCTTTCTTATTTTCTAAAAATGGGAGATAATAATAATGAGAGGCTCTTCTTAAGAATTTACTGGCATAAATAAAGAGATCATTGTTCAGTGTTTTGAAAAGAGCCCTGAATGAAAATGTGATGTAATTGGCCTAAGACACACCTGGCTGAAGGCTCTCTGGGGATATTTTCTTGTTAACTTTGCACCCAATGTTCTGGGAATTTCTTCTCCAAAGATCTACTCTGGAACCTCTGTTACGTCTATCAGGGGGCCGTTTTTGTAGTGTGTTCAGTACAATGTAGCCTCAACTAGCTGTCTGCAGTGCAGGGAAGATTCTACTACAGGGAGAAAAAAATATAGGGGAGTATTACCTATGAGAAGGTAGGTATGTCACTAGTATTGTTGGTCATCTCAGCCTGACTAAACATCTCCACAATACTTTTGCTTTGATATACCTCCTTACTGTAACTCTCTAAGGATAAATAGGATAGCCAGGCAAAGCATGGGTGCAAGGAGTAGGGTTAGGGCTGTGTACTGGCAAGGAAGCTATAGAGCAATTCATGATCATTTGAGGGTGGGGTTTTATCCCCTAGGGATTGTATTAATTAGGATTATATTTGATGGCAGGTGATAGAAAATTCAAGTTATATTGGTTTAACCAGGTAGGAGTTTTATTTTTTCAAAACCTGGGGGTAGGAAGCCCAAGACTAGTGTGATATTGCAATGATGCCATCAGGAATCCAGGCTCCTAGCTTTCATCCTCAGGTTTGTCACCTTGTGATCTCAAGGTGGCTGCTTACTCCAGCATCATGCCCAAGTTCCAGGCAGGAAGGGAAAAATACAATGTACAGACTGAAACTCCTCCCTTAAAAGCACTTTCTGGGATGCCTTACCCATGGCCAGTATTGTGTTGCATTGCCACCCATCTGCCAGAGAGAGAGTACGTTACCTCCATGAGCAAAACCTGGGTTCTTCTATAAGGAAAAAGGGGAGCTTAGATATTGGATAGGCAACCAGCAGTGGTTGAAATAGTGACATAAAGCAACAACAGAAAATAGTACCTTCATTGCACTCACGTTAATTAATTTTATCCCCTTAAAATGCAAAGAGATAAATGAGCAGACATCCTTCTTTTTTCATAGGAAATGTCAGAAGCAATCTGACATGTCTAAGATTGTCAGAAATATAATCCAATACCAATATTAAGTCCAACAGCCTATATTATACATCATGCTACTTATGATGATCTGGATCTGTACAGCAGGCCCTGGACATTCAAGAAGAGCATGTCCCAGGACTTTGTGAGACTTTATATTCAGGAAAAGATTCTAACATGTCATGAAGAGAATAACAAGGCCTCTTGGAGAGATGTGCTGAGCTGCCAGAGAGGCTCATTCACTGTTGTCAGTAGTTACTAATAACAGATAACACTCATGGAGCCCTTTTTCCTCATAGGCGTTATCTCATTTCACCTTCATAACAAAACTCTGAGTTAAGCACTATTGTTATTGTCTGTCTTTTACAGAGGACATGGAGGTTCAGAGAGGTTAAGCGACAGGCTCAGTGTCACACAGCTAGGATGTGGCACAGCTAGGATTCAAACTTCGAGCCTGTCTGACTCCAACACCTAAATACCAAACGTAACTTCCCTTTTTACTGTTTTTCACCAGCTCTGACTTGCTCTTGCATACCAGCCTTACACAGAATAGAATTCAAATTTGGGCCTCAACAAAATGCTTTATCAAGGTTGCTTATGCCTGATCTAAATGGTAGAAGTTAAATCTGCACATTCTGAGGGTCTTCTGTATTTAAACTCTTTTAGTCCTGCCTCAGGTAAATGCAGATCTCTAATGCCAATTTCCTAATTAGTACACAGTTCATCGCAGGTGGTCTCATCCCATAGAATTTTCTCTGGTCTCCTTCCTAGCAAGTGTAGTTTGCTGTCATCGCTTGGTTGTCATTAATCTAATTATCCCTTTGAGCTATTTCTACTGTTTTAGGCCTTGAATTTGCAAAATGGTCTTTAATCATCTTGAATATGGGGTAGAAGAAGGGGAATCCTGGGGGCTTCTACAGCATTCCAGAGCTAGGCATGCAAAGAAGTCCTAATGTTAAGAGAGATGGTACAGTTTAGAATCACGGATCCTAAAGCTGGAAGAGATGATGTGGTCCAGTCTCTTCTGGACCAGGCAGCTAAGGCATCATTAGCTCCATTTCAAAGATGAGAGGACTGAGGCTTGGGGGCTTAAATGAAGTGTCCAGAGTCATAAGGCTAGTGTCAGAGCTTAATTTAATTATTCAGGAGAAGAAGGAATGGGGTGACACCTTTTTTCACAGAATAGAAACCTGTACCTTGTTTGGACAGAACTTCATGTCTATTAGGACTGTTTGTTATTCTGAAAGAGAATGACATAGCCTATTCTTGTGTAGTGCCAATTTTCAAAATTAGCAAGGAAGCCATCACTTGTCTTACATGTGTCAGTGTAGTCAGAACAGCAATAGGAAAAATGTCATAAATGCATATTCTAAATATACACACAGTGCTCAGGAGGGGTGACATTGGTTCATATTTAAACCACTCCTGTGTCGCAGTATCTGAGGGTTCACTCTGAGCTCAGATCTCCAGGCTGTGTTCCAAAGATGCTAATTTCTTACAGTGTCTTGCTCTAGCCAGATGTAGGACAGCTTTTGGTTATTTACTTATTCATACCATGAGGTCTGAATGTGCCATGCTCATGCCCTCTCCCAACACAGTTTAGCTCCCAGCCCGTCTGCTCCCAGCCAGTGATGTAAATGTACCAGCTGCTTCCCAGGAACCAGTCCGCATCCTGCAGGAGGGGCTGGTCCCTTTCCCAGGCATCAGTCTGCTTGTTCTCAGCCTAAGCCCTCTTGCCAACCATGGTGGGTCCCTCCATTCTCACATGTCCTCGTCTGACAATCAGAGAGCATAATCCTCTTACAGGCCCATGATTGATTAGCGTGGCTTAATCTAAAGGCTCTAAGTCAGATTCGTTATGATCTACTGATTGTGGGGATATGGCAAGGTTTGTTTAAAGGGGCTTGGCTGGTCTGGGTTCCTGCAGCTGACAGAGAGAAGGTGGCCAGGAAGAAAGCAGCACACTGCTCGGAAAATGAAGGCGCTTCTGCTGCTGGTCTTGCCTTGGCTCAGTCCTGCTAACTACATTGACAATGTGGGCAACCTGCACTTCCTGTATTCAGAACTGTGAGTCGCCTCTCTAACTGCCTGTGTGTGTTTGTGTGCCAGTTATGTTGGGGGTGGGACCTAACCTGAGGTAGCTGGCTGGGTGGTATATCTGTTTAGAGGAATAAATCCTGCATACACTAGATGGACTTGGACAAAATGCCCTGCCAGCAGTTCAGAGCAGCATGCTTAGCTGTTTGTGACTTAACAACAAAAAAAAATCTTCCTGGATGTGGTGCTCTCTCAACAAGGCATTTTTTTTTCCTGCTTCGGTGCCAATGCTGCCTTTTTTTTTTTTTTTTGTAGTCTGCTTTTTCTCAATAGATGCATCTTCTCTTCCTTCCATAAATAGAACGAAAGAGCAGTTAAGAATCGAGCTTGCATGCACAGATCTGCAGCCTCTATTGGGTATTTCTAATTGCAAGCAGACATTGTCCGCTTATTGAAACAATCAGTCTCCATACCTGAAAACAGGTAGGGTATCAGTAAAGAGAAAAGATAACCCTATGTATATTTTAAAAATCCTTTTTATTTTTATTTTTGATAATTTTTAAACCTACGGAAAACAGAACCATGTCATGAGCACCTTACTCCTATCACCTTGATTTAATGCTTAACATTTTGTCACGTTTACTTCATGTATTTTATTTTTTGCTGAAATGGTCTGAAGTCAATTTTAGCTATCATGACATTTCACCCACCCCTAGAAGCTTAACCGTGCATCTCTAAATAATAAAGACATTTTCCTACATGACCCATGTCCATTTTATGAGAGGAAATGATTCATGACCTCAGCCTCTAAAGTGATAGTTTTCTGGTTCCTTTTGTTAGTAAGCTTTGAAAGAAGATTGCAGACTTATGTGAATGGCTTCTAGCAATCACATAAAAAGTGTTGCTGTGTGTGCCTCAGTGTTTGGAACATTTTCAAAAATTTATTCCTTCTTACCAGACAGGTAAAAATAGCAAGAGTTGGCTTGTGTGTAAATTAGAGTCAGTGGGCAAATGAAAACAGGGACTCTAAAAAGAGTTCATAGAACCCAGATTAGAAAAGCTTGGCTGGTCATATTTAGATAGTGATACCACCCATGACTATGGGTGGATAGTCAGTGCCTCTTTTGTAATTAGCTAGACTAGCCAATTTGTCTAGCATAGTAGATGCTCAATAAATGCTTGATAAATAGAGCTAGGTCCTTGGAGGCAGATCATTCATTTTGGGGAATCCACATTTCAGGATTATCTGGTCCTAACATATTGGAATGCAATCCCAGTCCACCTTAGGTAAGAAGGCTCAAAGAGAAAGTGTCTGGCTTGAACCTGAACTGTGAGCATCTCTGGGAAAATGGTGACATTGTAGAAGCTTTCCTAGAAAAACATACAATGGCAGAGACAATTGGGATTATGAAAAGGCTCCTTCCTTACTCTTGATGGATGCCGAGGGCGTGGTCTGTGAATCCAGGGCCCTAGCATTCCTCCCTGTCCCTCCACCCCCATCTATTATCCTTGACAGTTGCTATAATAGTTTCCTAGGGCTGCTGTCACAATTACCAAAAGTCGGGTGTCTGAAAACAACAGACATTTATTCTCTCACCGTTTTGGAGGGCAGAAGCTTGAAATCAAGGTGTCAGCAATCAAGGTGTCAACTCTGCTCCCTATGAAGGCTATAGGATTGAATCCTTCCTGCATCCTTCCAGTTTCTAGTGGCTGCAGGTGTTCCTTGGTTGGTGGCTACATTACTCCAATCTCTGCCTTCATCTGCACAGTGGCCTTCTACTCTGTGTCCTCTTCAATTCTGTTTATGTCTTTTCCTCTTATAAGGATACTTGACATTGGAGGTAGGGCCCACTTGGATACTCCAGGATAATCTTATCTTGAGATCCTTAATTTAATTGCATTTGTAAGACCTTTTTTCCAAACAAGGTCACATTCATAGGTTCTGAGAGGACATGACTGTTGGGGGGGTAACATTCAACCTACTTTAGTTGCTATTGAGGAGTCCTTTCATTTAGTTACTTTCAGATTTATAGCCTCATTGAAAAAAAAACTCTTCACACTGGTCTAATTTTCTTTCTGTAAGTGCATGAATCAAAGGCAACTTTTCTGTTGAATAACTGAGTGGACATAAGCAGGCTGTTCTTTCCAAAATGTAAAGCAGTTCAGAAATCATGATGACAGTACAGGGTATTGCCAGTAAGTATAATGCTTGCCAAATTATTTAACAGAACTTTCTTAGAAGCTTCCAATTGCTGGGGATGCATTATGAGAGAATTCTGTGCAGTCGTTACCTGATGCTACTGGTGAAAATTAACTGTTCAGTGACTTAATGACACGTTTCAGGTACTGTGGCATGCTGTAAGGAATACAGGCACTAAAGAATTAAGTGGGGTACCCACCCTCTAGGAGTTGACAATCTAATGAAGACGAAATTTATACAATCAAGAAATGTAGGCAGTGATCCAAGGCAGAAGGGGATAAGTCTTTTAAAAGTCGAGTAGGTACTAAGTTAAGAGGAGGTAGAGATTGTTCACTTCAGTGAAATTGGTCTGAGAAAGCTTCTGGAGAAGTTGGGGGTTTGAGCTGAATCTTGTCAAACAGGGATGAATCAGGCAGAATAGGGGAGGAAAGAAAGCTGAATAGCACTGGCAAAAGGATTGAGGGGTAGCTGTGGTGGTCACCAAAACTTGAACAACAATGTAGAGTAGTTAATGGGACCACTGGGCCAGCTTAGCACCCTTGGTAGCAGGGGTGATAGAGGGGTGGCTGCATGTCCCTAAGATGAAGAGACACTTCTCTTACCTACCATGGGCTAGTGGGATCTTGAAGAGTTTGGTGGATTTGCCAGGCTTCCTCCACCCCTTGTCTGAGCTTTGGATCCCGCCCTAGTGTGAAGCTTGCCCTATGGCCCTTGTGCTTGCAAATGCGGAGACTCTCCTAGATCTTTCTTCCTCTCTCATGCCAAGGTGCTCTCTGAGTTCTGTTCCCTCGGGGCCCGGTTAGAACACTAGAGCTAATCCAGTTAAGTGGATTCAAGTTTAGCATGTGGCCCAGGTTTCTCAAACTCAAATGTCTACAGGAGCCAGGCAGGAATTATTTAAAAATGAGAATCATTCAGGTACTAGTATATGATGAAAGGAGGTTGTTGGCCTATGGCCAACTGCAGAAAATATGTGAATATAAATATAAATATAAATATATATGCAAGGGGTCTTCAAAAACTTCACAGAAAAATAGAATAAAAAGATACTATAAACCTTTTCACAAACTTCTTAAAGACCCTTTGTGTATACACACACACACACACACACACACACACACACACACATATATATATAGCCCGAGGCATTCAAATTCAATTTAAAAAAAAAACAAAAAAACACAGTGTCCAACCCAGCAGATCACTTCTGCATGCCTAATTTGGCTTTGAGGGCCCATAGTTTATGACTCAGGGCAGCTCCTTTTTTAAACATGTTTATTGCCACTTGTTGATGTGGCCCATAGAAGAGTGAACTTCACAGAAGCAGCCTGAAACCAGAGTATTGGGTGTGGAGTTCCAATCGATAGATTAGGGAGCGGGGAGTTTAGGATGCACTCAGAGTCTGCAAAGAGCATGCCGTAAGGATAAAGGGCAATGCCTTCTCCCCATGGGCCCTCACCCCCAGGCTCCCACTAGCTCTCTTTCTGAATTTCCTAGATCCTAAAGAGAATCTAGGAAATAAACTTTGTCTCATGGAAGGGAGCATGGAAAAACCTTTCTACTCTTTCTGGGCCTATTTACAGCCCCACACGTGAGGAGACTTGTAAGTGAAGACCATAAAACGGCATGGGTTCTGAGGACTACCTACATCAGAATTGGGGGCTGGGTTTGTTTTTAAAGTGCAGGTTCTTGGGCTCAGTGTTAGTCCATTTTCTGTTCCCTATAACAGAATACCTGAAACTGGGTAATTTTTTAAAGAAGGGAAATTTATTTCTTACAGTTTTGGAGGCTGGGAAGTCCAAGGTCCAGGGGGCACATCTGGTGAGGGCCTTCTTGGGGACTTTCTAGAGTCCAGTGGCAATGCAGTGTGTCACATTGCCAGGACTGAGCAAGAGTGCCTGGAGACGAAAGTCAAATCCCTGACCTCTTCCTTTCCTTTCCTCACTTTGTCCAGCAATGTGAAGAGCAACCAACCAGCATCATTATATTCTTTGGTTTTCCACAGACACTCAAAAGTATCATGTATAGAGTCACTAAATCCCTTGCTCTTCCAAGTGGTGAATCAGGAGTATCAAATTCATTTATTTGGCATATCTTTGCAAACAGTTCACACCATGGACTATCAGTGCTCTCTTGCTCTCCTTATAAAGCCACCAGTTTACTCCTTGAGAACTTGTTACACCATTAACTCATTAATCCATGAATGGATTAAACCATTCAGGAGGGCACAGTCCTCATGATTCCATCACCTCTTAAAGGTCCCACCTTTCAGATAACATAGTTGGATTTCTCACCCTCTTAATACTTACAATGGGAATTAAGTTTCAACATGAGATTTGTGGGGACATTCAAACTACAGCAGGCCCCAAATCAACCCTACTAAAATGAAAACTTTTGAGGGTGGGGCCCATCTATGTTTATTTTTAAGCTCCCCAGGTGATTCTCGTGGGCACTACAATTTGAGAACTCTTAGGTGCAGCTGGGATGTCAGCTCACCCTGACTTTCCCATTGAAGGTCATCACCCATCCCTCTGTGCCTCTGTCTATGCTGTGCTCTGTTGGGAGCTTTCATGTCTTTCCACTCTGCTGGTGAGTTCTTAGGAGAGCTTGCAAGATATTAATGTCTATATGCCCAGCTTCTGCACAGTTCAGTACAGAATTAAGTTGAACTGAATTAAACAAATTTGCTTCATATCTTGGCCACTTCCTAAACATTACAAACTGTGATGAAGGAGACGCTGGTTTGGTTTTCAATGGGGAAGGAATGTTGATCTTGCTCCTAACGATGCAAGCCAGCCTCATCTCGGATGTTTCAGAATGCAGCACTGTA